TCCATACTACTATTTGATAAAACTACACTTTCTAGTGTGGCCTTTGCTTTGTTATTTGCCACACTGTATAAGTGTAGCTTTTTATACATGTTCAAAAACAACATTTATAAAGTGTAGCTTTTTTCAAATGCAGAAAATAAATTTTATAATCAATAAACCACACATTTGTCATCCCACTAATAAAAGGGTAGCAACATTGTTTAGAATTTTTGTAGACACAATTTCTAATGGAAAAATAATAAGTTTTGTTCGAATAGATTAACTAATCACATAATTATATAATTAGAGAGGCATAGACTGTGCTCAACACCGCACAACATTGACATACATATACTGAAATGATTGGATAAATACTCACAAATAGAAGAGACTTCAATAAGACATAGATATAAGAAGATATACTTAAGACCAACAGGAAACAATCTAAATTGTAGTTATCATTTTTCATTATATTTCTTGTTACAAGTGTGGCTCAATATCAACACATTTTGAACTTCATAGTTATTCAAAGCTTGTTCCATTTCTTTGCCAGTAGGCTTCTTGATGACTCGGTCTGCATGAAAGTAAAATCGGCTTATTGACCTTCTTATGCACTTATCCTTTAAGAATATCCAGTAGGAAAAAAATATGATACCTTTTACTAATAAAGGATTTTATTGTTGTTTTATGTTTTTAACTTAAAACTCAAGTCATAATCCCTCCTTTGTTCCTGGCATAGTATGCATCTGAAGCTCTAAAACAATCGTTGATTATCAGTCACTTTTGTCGTGTTGCCTGTATATACTTGAGCACAAACCTGTTCCAGAATCACTATTTCATTTTGAAATTCATTTAGTAGTCTATGGGGGATAATTTTAGTTGATGTTCATATCAATGACATGGCTATCCTTATTATATGTACACTATAAATAAGCTTATGCCATTCTAGTTGATGCACACATCACCTTTATTTTATGACCTGCTTAAGAATTCACCATATTTAACTATGTTTATACAAGTTTTTTGTTTGAAAAATTGGATAAGAATTGAGATGTATGCATGACATTCTGTAAAACAAGAAGCAACCCAAAAAATTGATTGTTACAAGCAAAGGAAGTGCTGTAAAAAATCACCAACAAAATGAGCTAAAATAAACAATAAGATGGAAAAATTAAGCAAGTTCAAAAATGTTTAACGCATGAAGAAGCTGATGAAATTTCAGACTTACAAAAGGGTCAAATGAAATTGTGAATGAGAAGAAACAGACAAATAAGAATGAGAGGAATTGAAGAAAACAAAAATGTCAATTTCTTCATACCAACCATATTATCATAAAAATGCCAGACTTTTTGGGTCTTCATGCAAAAATATACTTTGTATGGTCAGGAACCAAAGCAAGCAACAAATACACTGATAAACTGAAAAATAAATATGGTGAAAATGCAAGATAGATGTACTTATTAAAAGTTTCACATTCTCACCTTGCAGCAACATAGTATATCATGCTCAGCAAATGTATGCGAAGTGTCTTAGCTTGTTCCCATGTAAAAGCTATTATTTGAACAATTGAACTAACCATTCGAACTGATCTACACCAACACATACATTAAACATGGAAAACTGATTCTTACGATGGTAAGTCAACTCATATAAATAACACTCAAATTATGAAAATCTATACACTAGTGAGCAATCAAGAATTTTCATACAATATTACAACGGTAGAACTAAGTATGGGTGGAAGATTATAACAATTTATACAAAACTAGAAAAATTAGACTTATAACACATTTATATAAAGTAGATGCCAGAATTGGTCATGATTTTTATTGAGTTTTCACTTAGTATAACTAGAATTACATCTATTGCAACAAATGAGGTGATATCAACACAAGAAACAATATCATGTCATTCAAATTCAACTAATCTCTTAACCAAATTAATGAATGAGAAACCTGAAAAATATTAATTAGGATTGACTTGTTATTTAGTCCAATTTCCAATATTTAAAGTGAAAAAAAGCACAGATCCTTCACTTCCCTCCAAAGATCAAATGTAAAAATAAAGACGCAAAAGATAATCAAGAACGAAGCAAATAAAACCCTTTATGTGAAACAGGGGAAAGTTTATTACTCCCTCTGTTTCATTTTACATGTCATAGTTTGTCTGGACACAAAGTTCAACAAATATGAAAGACTTTCGAATTGTATAATTTTATACTAAATATTCATGCAATGCATCAAAATAATATCTGAACTTTATTATTTTAAACATGTCATGTAGAATATTGAAATTTAAGAGTTAGTGAATATAGAATGAGAAAGTTACTTAAATAAATTGACTATATTGTCATGTAGTGTCTTAAATTTATCTCTCTCATAGTCATACTAAAAAGAAATTTCATTATGTATAGTCCTTAATTCTTGCATCTACTTAATCTGCTTTCAAGGAAAAAATTATCATGCATGCGGCACACCAACTCATACTCGTATGAGATATCATTTGATTGCCCAGTGTACATCACAGAGGCCCATCTGTCAACTTTGTTTTAAGTCCCCTCCACCTTTTTTTTTAATTTTTACGCTTGATGTACTCTTTGTTTCTATTTTTTAAAATATTTATTTTTTGCATTCTTAGCTAATTAATTATGTTTCTTCTTTTTAAAATATTTGTTTTTTGTATTATTATCAAATATAATGATTTATATTGTTTCTGTGGATAAATCTTATGATTATATATATATATATATATATATATATATATATATATATATATATATATATATATATATATTATTTTTTTAATATTAATTTTTTATTCAATCTTATCTATTTATATCGTAATAAGTATTGGTCGTATTTAATTTTCAATTTATAAAATTAATATATACGTAATTGTTTTATTCTAACAATTAATATTTTAAAATAGTATAAATAAAATTTGTATAGTCAAAATTATAGTTTTATTTATAATTTCTTAAGAAATGTGTAATTAAAGTAGATAAATAATATATTTGTTAAATATCACTTATCTTGAATATTTAAGAATAAGAAATATCATATAAAATTATTGAAATAATATATATTTCTATGGGTGTTTATGGATCTTTTTATTTTCGAATTTCAGGAAAATAGTATCAAAACTTATGTAATTGTTTGTTAAAATCATTGATGCTCTTCCATTACATTTACTTGAAGAGTATTTATACATCTAAGTGTTTTTGGATACATGAAATTGTTGAGAAGAATGAAAAAACAAATTAATAGTCTATATTTCTTTTTACCAAATTCTTAAGAAATCATTCATAAAATATTTATTTTACAAATTGGCAGATTAATTTTCTTTTTCACTTTATAAATTTTATTTATACTTTCAAAAATAATTTATTATTATAATAATGAAAAAAATGTAATTAATTACATCTTAATTTGTAAATTAACAAATAATTTTATATAACTATTTTAAGCATTTTAAATAATCAATATCAAAATGAAATATAACATAACAATGTTAGAAGTAAAATGAAAAATTATTAGTAAATAAAAGTGTAAAATTTAGAACAATTGTTAAAAAAGAAACCAAAGAAAAAAATAAGAAGTAAGCGAAAGGAAACACTTTATAAGGGAAGAGATAGAAAGGACGGTTTGGACAATTTTTTGAAGTGGAAATCAATTATCCACGTGAAAAAATATGAGTGGAGCATCGTATAAGTTTTGTCTGCCACGTCATATATACGTCTTATATATAATAAATTTTTTCGCTTAAGAGGTACAGTGATACTGAAAAGTTTAGAGAAGTCAATGGTGTAATTCGGACTAGATATGTAAATTTCAACAAAAATTCAGAAGGGGCGATTGTCCAAATAAAGAAACTTCACGAAGAATTATCATATATACATATATGAACATCAAAATTGGCTTATTGTAATTTCATATTAGTTGAAAAGGGAATTAAAAAGAAAGAACTTGCAATTTCCAACACAGTCCTTGACCAATTTGTAATTGTATATACAACTAGAATGATATCACCAACACGGTCAATCCACAAATAGAATCTATCATCAAAGATAGTTGCAACAAAAGTGATAAATATTTGTGACTACATGAAAGTAGTGATCCTAGATGTCGTGGTTCCATAACATGCCTAATGATACACAACTACACAAATTTACATGAAAGTATATATGAAAAAGACCTTTGCATATACTCTTACTATCTTGTTTTCTGAACTTCTTCAATATATTCATAACTGAAATTTTACTCAAGTAGCTGTTAGCATATTGAATATAGCCAACACAACTGCTCTTCACTCATCTTGTTTAAAGGTGTATCTTTTGTTAATTGTTCAACAACTTGCACTTAGACTTAAAAGAATATGCAAACACATGAAGTCGAGTTGTCATTCATGAATATTAAACAGAAAAAGGAGAGACAAAGATATGACATGTGCAAAAAACATACCAAGAGTTGACATTACAGTTGAAAAATGATAATCCCAACCGGTGGAACTCTAAAACTGCATCTAAAATTTTCAAACGCCTATAATTAAAGGTAATCACAAATTAAGATTTTGAATACCATCAATAGTCACAAATAATAGGTTAAAAAATTTTGTTTTGAACATAACATGAGGTAATATGAACAATCTTGAAATTGGAAAATCCACGAAAGCAATTTCTTATTTTTTACTCAGAGATAAAACATCGTGTTTCTCTAAAATCTTGTCCAAACAAACCCCTTTTGTTGATAGCCATGTTAAAGACTCCATAACTAATGTTTAAAGTTTTTTTCTCAATTGGTGTTTATAAAAAAAGAAAATAAGAATTATGATTATGTTTTTGTTAGTGTATGTTATGTTTATCTGTGGGAAGAGAGTGCTATTAGGGAGTGGACGCTGGGTAAATTTAAAAACATTATACTTTCTTTTTCTCTTTATATCATTTATAAAAAATTAAAAAAATGACCACAATTTTAGCAAGTATTCAAGATTGATAATAAGAAAAAGGAAAAGACAATCAAGCGTAGTACCTTCAATACGGAAACTGTTATAAATTCAATTGTTTCACGAGATCTAAATAAACCTACGACATACTTAGTGAAATCCCACAAGTAAAGTCCAAGTAGGGTAGAATTTATGCAAACCTTACCATGAAATCTAAATAATATATACACAATAGCTCTTTGCACATAAAAGATTAACTCCAATCTATTTCTTTTAAGAATTCGTCACTCCAGAGGTACTTTTGCTCCCAACAATAGTACGATGAACTTCTGAGCTACCATAATCAAGTGGAGGGTGTGATATCTTCAATCTTTCTTATTCGATGATAAATAGAAACCTGGAAATGAAATGGCCAACAAATGAGTAATTTCAAATACTAAATGAATAGAGTAATCTCTTATGAATTATCACTTACTACCCACTTTCTCTTGTTTATGAAAAAAAATAGGGAAAATTATATATAATAGCAAACTAATAACCTAAATTAAATGGAATATCTAGGGTTTAATTTAATAGTGCTCCATAGCAAACATTAGCTAAAATTTGCCAGCGTCTCTCTCCCAAAAATCTCGCTCGCCACTCTCCATTCTCGCTCGCCTCTCTCGCTTTATACACAGAAGTGTATAATTCTGTTTCTGTTTTGTATAAAGCGAGAGAAAATTGTATATGCACATGCAAAAATGTATATCTTCGTGTTATACACTTAATTATACAATTTACAAACATTTTACTTCAAATATTGCAGAGAAAAAGGCCAACGAATTATACAATTGCGAATTATACTATTGCAGTGAAATACAATTTTCTCTAGCTTTATACAACAGAAGTGTATATATATTGTGTTTCTGTTTTTGTATAAAGCGAGAAAAATGTATATCTTCTTGCAATACACTTATAATTATGCAATATACATACATTTTAATTTGATTCAACTGTATGCAAAACAAATCATACAATTGCAGCGAAATAGGCCAGCGAATTATACAATTTAGGTCAACGAATTATAGAATTTAGGCAAGCGAATTATACAATTGTATATGTATAGCAAATTATACCGTTTTATGTTTGCTATGGAGCGCAATTATGAAAAGTTTGCTATAGCATACAAATATGAATTTTTTGTTTGCTATATGTGAAAGTTGCCCAAAAAAATATTAGTAAATCCTAGCAAACATTAGGAAGTTATTTTGCTAAAGTACCCAACAACTTCTTTAATACAAATCCATATGTTCAAGCTTTGTATGCTTTAATGTTGCTAAAATTAATTTCATGACACACTAATAAGGATGGATCAAAACTTTCAACTCCAAGGTCATCATACCTCCAGAAAATGTAGTTCTATGCAGAAATTTTATGAGGGTGTAGAAACCTGTTTACAAACAATCTATATTCAGATAGTGAAATGTGTGAAATGTTGAATGAAGCAACAGTAACATTAGGAAGTTATAACGCATGATGTACAATTTTTTTTGACAACTAGGAGCACTGATGCAACAGTTCTTTTGCATGAAGAGCATTCCAAACAGGGAGGAGCTAGAATAGAAGTGCTGTATATATTTGTATATGCACAAGTTCTATCTTCTAATACATTAACATAGCATGTGTCGAAACAAACTTGGTCAAATGAATGCCTAGTTTACTTGTACTTACACTATTACTTTAACTTGTTTCTATAAAAAAAAAACTTAAAACTCTTGATTTATCTGGGCTTGTGTATGGTTAATCGTTAACCCTAAGTAAATATACAAATGTAACATGAGATTCTTTATAAACCAAAAGCTTGGCAAGGCAACAACCTGAAACATGAAACTCTAGATTCTCATCGAGGACGAGATTAAACTATAAATTTATATAAGTAATGCATCAGAAAGTGCAACTAATGAGGATTGAGGAGCAATAACAAATGTGTTGTCTGATTCACTTTACATAACATGAAATTTGTTAAAGCATCATCACTTTCCATGACCATTATTTATATTAAAACACATTCAGAAACAACCTTGTAAGAAGCAATAGTTCTTATTGCTAAAGCAACAACTTTATCAATTGAGTAATATGGTTACTGGTTAATGCTAAAGCAACAAACATAAGCTATAAATCTAATGAAAACAAATGAAGTCTAAAGAAGATGTTGAAACAAATTATCACCTAAACTACAGATTTGAACTAAATAAAATATCCAACTTTTTAAAAAACACATGAACTAATACCAAGAACTGAAATTAATGTAATTTTATTCAATCCAGTTATGGATTATTTAGATTTATGTCATAATTTTGACCCTAATTCCTACAAGCTTTCGCCACTGTCATATCTCAATTTTGTCGAAAGATTTCCACAAGCTCTCCATTAAAGCTTCAGCGCCCTAATACAAAAATTTGAAAGAAATTTAACTCGACATTCAAATTTTCTAAAAAAACTAGTTACATGAACAGTTACTCATTCTCTGTCTATCTTTCACACACACATATTGCGTCACATAGTTGTCAGAACGAGATGAAACATAAAACTATGTCAAGATTTGTGATAAGATGTCAAATCCATACCTGAAAAGTTGTTGGTGACGGAAAAGATTTTGGTTGAATTAAATTGAAGCAGAAACGTAACAGCTTCAAAACTCAACCTCCTCGTAGTGTTGACATAGAAAATGTCAAATTTTTCCTCGCTGAAGTACTGGAGAAAAATGTACAATCTTGTTTTTCCAACCTATTGCCAAAATTGATTTAGGTAAAATGTTAGGGATGAGGCATTTTCTTGAGACTTGGAGAGAAAAGGCCCGTTCTTCAGACTTAAAGAGAAAAGGCAAGACGTGATTTTTTTCTCATTTGGGGGAAACGGAAGTATTTATGTTTTATTAATTACTTTTTTGCCTAATAAAAATTGGAGGCATAGTTAAAATTTTTGGAGGGAATATAATATTTTGGTAAAAATTTAAAAATCATATTTGTGATTTGTGTTTCTACCATTAGGAAAATAGAACACTTAAAAAGTGTCGCCATATATATAAATAGTTATTGCCAATTATATCATACTTTAACAATGCTTATAAAATGAAACTTATACCATTAGGGAGTACACTTTAAAAGTGTTGTTAATATTATTGAAGCTAAAAGTAAAAAACTTAGGCTACACTTAAAAAGTGTCCCCAAAAATATTTTAGGCAACACTTTAAAAGTGTTGTTCAAATTTAGTATGGCTATAGGCCTAAAATTGTGTCGTAACCCTTTTTGAAAAATTGTACCAGTTATTGAATTTATTTGAATATAGTTGTTCTCTTTCATATTTGAGTATCGGTCTTGATCAATCAGATGACTTGTATAGTGCTCATAATCGAACAAAAAAAGTATGTTTGGATACAATGAGACCAAATTAAGTTTCATAGTAAATATGTGAACTTTTTGCATCTCCTTGTGACTACTCAATCATAAAACTGAGTCTATTCTTATAAACATTGCACACTAGCAAAAGTGTGGATTCTTGTTTGCCATTGGTGGTAATTTTTATATGATGAGCTTTCCATGAACTATGTGTGATGATACCTACAATTCACCCTGTTTGTCCAGTTGACTAAATGATGTAAGCTCTTAAAATGATCTTAGGCAACAATTTTAAAGAGTGCAACAATTTGACATTATACCTCTTTTGTGGCCTACCTTGTGAGTATGTGAGTTCTGCTGTGGCCTACCTTGTGAGTATGTGAGTTCTGCTGAAAACCTTTTGAGACTTAACATTTCCTTAGAAGAAACTTGATCAAATGGAAGCATTTTTTTTATCCCTTCACCCTCAACCCTCATGAGAAATGGTTTGTGTGAATAGAAAACTTAGTCCAAAAGCCTATGTTAGGGGTGTGGTGAAACGAGAAGTTTAATCAAAAAGTGCAAAGAAATCGCCTTTACCCATTGTTTTGAGAAAGACGGAACCCCTCCATAAACAAAAACGATAAAAAGGAAAGAAGAGTGATATTTTTTAAATGAAATTGTGATAGTGCAGAGAAAATGGGGCGTCTGGTATCCCTTGGAATGTTAATAATGGGGTGACTTATGAGAATAAGTGAGAATAATGAGGAGAAGGAAAGGAATTGTTGTTCATACCATATTTCATGAGGAAAGAATTAACTAAGCCTAAATGACCATACCTTTGTCACACACCGGAGTACACCTTAGTAGGCATGGTATTCTTGGATTGCAACATGGAGTACTTGACCTCTCGGAGGTCTTGTAAGAGCCGTTTGACATCATCCATTGCATAGATGTATGAATAGTAGTGCGAAACTAAAACCTTTCACACAAAATAGTAATACTTCAGATTATCTCTTTTATAGAAAAACATAATGAATGTCTAACTCTCAAAGTCGCCTTCTTAGACAAAATGAATAATATGAGACAGGTGCTTTAATTCAACATATAGAAAAGTAGCTAAGTCTATTACAATACTTCAATAAGGATATCTAAACATCAAGATGTCCTCGAATCTAGTGAGGACGTACCAACAGTTGCTTGAATGATCAATAATCAAAGTTTCACTTTGAGACTCTTCTCAAATGCCACCTATACATTTATAGATAGACAAAATATATGGAATTAGTACACTAGAATGTACTAAGTATGGCATAATGAAATAAAATCATGATAAAAAGACATTTGTACAAAACATGCTCTTTTTTAGTAAAACTTCATAAAACAAGTATAAGAGATCACATTAATTCACCATAAGCACATATAGTCACATTCAATCAATATACATTAACATCACTTCATATTACATGACCATGACACCCTCCTACCAAAAGTGATTCTAAAGCTCACTTGAGTGAGTTATGAAGTGACCGCCCATATAATTCCTTCACACACACCAAAGTGATCTTTTAGATTACCTGAGATAACATTATTCCCATTTCATACATTCAACTCCCTGCCTAGAATTACTCTAAGACTCATCTAAGTAATACATGAAAAGAATGCCCATACACCCTCTCCAAGCCTACCTAAACAATACTTAAAGCGGCTCTAGATAATAACCTTTTCTTTAACATATTACTTATTTAAGTAACTCAATTCGTTAAGCCATTTATGAGACATTCACTATTTAAGGACATACATGGTTAAGGCCTAGGGAACTCACATAGTAACATTCTTCAAAGCCTAGTCGTGCAATGTCTAGATAGCATCCCATTCGACTACATAACTTTCAGAAAAGTTCTCCAAAACTAGCATGTATCCCACATGATTAGAATAGGCAATAACGGCAATAGACCATACTAACTAGGCATGGAATCCTGAGTCAACCTACTCCGATAAAGGGTGTGCTACTTACCAACGGTAAAATTAGGACACAACCTATGTAGGAATATCAAGGTTTGTTTATACACTATCCTCATCTTAAAACTAGAGCTACTCCCCAAGAATACTCACTCGGTGCTACACTTAATTCACATAGAGTAATTAAATAAAGGAGCATATGAAGAGGTACCATATCTTGTTCATAACTAAATCGTACTACACCTTACCAAAGAGGATCCACTAGGACTGCTTACAATGGTTATTAAGATAGCTCAATGACTTTCTTAAGGATGATTTCATGTAGTTCCAGCAACAAACCTAACTCCCCCATTCACACGAGAAGGATACAATTACAATTTTCAACTTCAATGATATCATAACTATCTTTTTAAAAGGTTTCACATAAATGACCTTCTTTAGTATATTCAAGACCATATTCCATTCATACATGTATATTCATGCAAAAGGTTCTTTAGCTTACTAAGTCAAGGATTCATATTCGCATTCTTCATGAATCAAGTAAGGGACATAGGTCTACCTGAACAAGACAAACTTCATTATAAAATTATCACATGTTTAATATCATTCATGTAGCACATGGTTCAACTAAGTAGATTTTCAAGTCACCTACACACTTCTATAGAATCATCAACATAACACATCATAACGTTCATATAGTCAACTAAGAAGCTTCACACTTCAACGTCAAGTATACACATACAAGACATCACTATAGCCCATTCATGATGTCACACCCTAGAATATATGGCACTCTTGGAGTGCGACGCAACATATTTGACCTCTCGGAGGTCTTGTACAAGACTTTTTTTATCATTCATTGCATACATGTATGAAAAGTAGTGCGGAATTAAAGCTTTCACACGAATATGTTAAAACATCTTACATATAAAATCAAAAAGAAAATACTAAGTCTCAAGATATGCCAATATTAGATTTAGGAATATTTGGGATACGGCCCATATAATATGAAATATGGAATCACTTAGTCTATTACAATACTTGAATAAAAGAGACCTAAAGATGATTATTCCCTCTAATCAAGTGAGGACATACTTTGACTTTTCTTTAATGATTACTAGATTACAATATTGATCTAAGATACCTCTCAGCTGCTAACAACACCATTAGAGATAGACAAAAGTTATTGAATTAGTACAAACAGATGTACTAAGTATGACTTAATGCATATAATCATGAGAAACAGACATTTATGAGAAATATGTTCTTTTTAATTAAAACATCCCAATATAAGTATAAGAATCACATTTAAGCACCAAACATCACATTTAGAACACAACATAATTCATCTTCAAATTATATCAAATAAAGGTAACATTACAATAAGCTTACAGTAACCCTTACTGTAACATCACCATAACACCCACTAAGTATTACATATTACATATTACATTATAGAATAAATAACATATAAAAATGGTATAACCATGAGATCCTCCTACCAAAGGTGATTCTAAGTCTCACTTGAGTGAGTTATGAAACGACCGACCATACAATCCTTTCACGTACACCTAAGAGATCCTTTAGAGTACCTAGAATAAGATCATTCTTGTTACACAACATAACACACACACACACACACACATACACACATACACACACAACACACAACACACACACACACATACACACACACACACACACACACATATATATATATAGGACATGCTCCTCCTAAAGTTTATCAAAAGACATACTTAATTAATTGATACGCTCACTTACTTCTCAAATAAGAAGTAAAGCGGTCGTGTCAATTAAATAACCCAACTAGTGAGGTTGGGATCGTTCCCACGAGGAAAATTGTCTAGACTTAAGTTCAATCTATTATTACTTTTGTTTAGTCAATTACTTCCCTGGAAAGAAAAAACAATAAAAGGGGGGGTTTCTATTTCTAAATGAATGAAAAGAACTACCTGAATTGAAAGAGACACTTAACAACTTTGAATGTTGGATTTAAATCAATTAATCAAAGTAACTAGGGTTTACGTGTTCCCCTCAGGTTCATAACTTGATAATTCTAACTATCACAATTCTTTCCTAGTATCTTGCATGCAAAGTGATAAGTTATGTATTTCTAAATCCTTGGTCCGGCATCTAGAAAATCTCACTCCGCACCATGGTCTGGCTACGTATGTTGCTATCCTAACCCTTATCTTTACCTCATATTAAGCATCGTATTCGATATTTGACTAAGTTATTACCTCATACCAATCAATATTAGCCTATTAGATAGTATACACTAAATCTATGTTGATAATTCTTTTCCTATTATCTACCTCCTTGGTCCGGCAATTAGCATTAAGGCAAGTTCTAACGTTGGACTTCCGTTAAAAAGACTTCTAAGCGAAAGAATTATTAATACATGCAAGACGCTATTCTAGAATCGTTATTATAGTTAGGTTTTATCTCATTATTTGCCTATGGTTTCGACAACCCTTGTTATGGAGTTTAGTTACTCATAGTCATAATCACAATATTCAAAT